CCACGGATTGAAATGGATTTCGGAGTGATTCATTTCACGGATAATTTTCGACTGCACAAAATTCATTAGTGAAGTGAGAGGCGCGCAATGCATTAAGGGTGAATTTGTTTGGCTGAATTTACAAACTAAAAAATTAATGTCCGTGCGTGATAGCGTCAAGTTTGTGTCCTAGTTACTGACGAAAGATAAAAAAAAATATCCAGTGAAAATGCTAGAGAACTGAAACTTTTATCTATACTTTAGAGCGCTCAAATTCTCAAAAGCTCAAAACAATAGTAACACAACAAGATTTGCCTTAGAGAGTCACGTAACAGTCAACGTTTGTTCGATCGACAAGCCGATGACGCTATTGTTTTACTCACACGCAGGTGAAAAATGAACGATGTTAAATGAATCTATGAAGTCGTGGAAGAAATTTTATCATAGCTTAACTCCTTTAGAAATAAAATATTAACCTAAATCATCTTTACTGATGTTCATACAAGACAAAGCGCAGAGGAAATTTGACAGCTTATTTTCTTTATCTTTCTATTTTGAGAGTTTTGATTAAAACGCGCATTTGAGCATGTGCAATTGCGTTTGACTCCAGAGTTATAGTTTCACTTAGAGAAGCTGAAAATTCATCAAATAATCACAAACACAAATGAAATCCAATATCTATCGAAAAAACGCCATGAATACACAACGATCCACGGAACATTGGAAACTGGTTAATGTTTAGTCTTACGCCAAAACAAAACCACAGATACTGAACAGCATACATACGCCTACGGTGAGTCGTGCATACACACTTCTGTCACTTCTACCTCAAACGTTATGAGTTCCAAGCCTCTCGTTTAAACATCTAAAAGCGGAAGCGGTTGCTCGNAGCAAATTTGACAGCTTATTTTCTTTATCTTTCTATTTTGAGAGTTTTGATTAAAACGCGCATTTGAGCATGTGCAATTGCGTTTGACTCCAGAGTTATAGTTTCACTTAGAGAAGCTGACAAAAGACTAATTCATCAAATAATCACAAACATTATCCAATCCAACATCTATCTAAACAACGTCTTGAGTATACAACGATCCACGGAACATTGGTAACTGGTTAATGGTTAATGGTTAATCTTACGCCAAAACAAAACCACAGATACTGAACAGCATACATACGCCTATGGTGAGTCGTTCATACACACTTCTGGCACTTCTACCTCAAACGTTATGAGTTCCAAGCCTCTCGTTTAAACATCTAAAAGCGGAAGCGGTTGCGCGTTCATGCGTGTAGTTACTTTCGTCTCGCGGAATAACGAACTTCGCTCGCGATAAACAGAGGGTCTTTAACACTTACAGATACTGTCATTCTGCTGAGTGCTAAGGTTATATAAGAAGATTTCGCTTACCAACAAACTGGAAGTTGGCAGCCAGCAGAAGAAAGAAGCCACTTGGGTAGATGAAACGAACCTTTCCAATTCCTAGATCAATTCTAAACGCAGCCATGTCGATAAACAAAGTATTACCGTGGCATCTCTG